AGTCAGTTTTCTGCACATGCAGATTAGTTGTCCTTACACCGTTTTCTAGATTTTATAAAAAAAAGTTAATTAAAGTGTGTAAAACAAATGTATATGTGCGACTATTTTTTTTATTATCTGAAGCTATAAAAGGAGAAAGTTCACGAAGGATTAAAATTGGCCCTAGTAAGATTTTGATTTGTTTTTAATCAGGCCCAAATACTACAGATTCTATAAAGAAATAGTTGTGATATTACTATTAATACAAAATTACTTCATTTTGGCACATCACATTAAAAATGACAAGTACGCCTTATTTGTGTTGTAACGTCAGTTTTGGTCAAGTTTTCAATAATTCTTAACAGATTTTAGCATAATTCACTTTGGCCGCCACCCATGATCCAGAAATATCTTGAGTCTAGGGATTTAATATCATCATTGGCTATTTTTGGTTATAGAACATTTCGGATCCCAGATTGCGGCCAAGGGCTTCCTTAAGCTTTAAGGTTCAATCCAAAAAAATGCACAAAATCATCGAATTTTGACAATATATCCAAAATGTGCTGATTTTGAAGCCAAGAATGCACTCTTATGAAGAGATTTATTTTAAACTAGATGTGTCGGAACGACACGAATGGCCCCGTCTCAAAAAGTTTTTAAATCTGCAATTTTAACAACACATGTGGACACAAACATGCATGGATAGTATCCAGCTCTCAAGACCAATACTAGTTTGATGAAAAATTTCCTTGATCAATGAGTAGTTAAATTTCAAACTATATGCAAACAGGTAGTGGATGTACTGAAGATGTGTTGGGACGACATGAAAATCAGCATAGCGGAACGAAACATAAACTTGATCTGTAGCTCATCATGGTAGAATCTGAAGTCGTATAGAAAAAAAAGTCCGTATAACTGTGATTTTCAACAATTTTCAAAGTCCAAAACCCGTAATTTACGGCAAAAATCAGCAGAGCAGAACCAAACTTAAACTTGATCTGTAACACATCATAGTTAACTCACATACCAAAAATCAACCCAATAGCTGAAGGTGTTTAGAAAAAAAATCCGTATAACTTTGATTTTCAACAATTTATTAAAGTCCAAAGCCCGTAATTTCGGCAAAAATTAGCAGAGCGGAACGAAACTTAAACTTGATCTGTAACTCATCACGGTTAACTCACGTACCAAAAATCAGCCAAATATCTAAAGGCGTTTAGAAGAAAAGTCTATATAACTGTGATTTTCAACAATTTATCAAAGTCAAAAGCACGTAATCTCGGCAAAAACTAGCAGAGCGGAACAAAACTTAAACTTGATCTGTAACTCATCATGGTTAACTCACATATCAAAAATCAGCCCAATATCTGAAGGCGTTTAGAAAAAAAGTCCGTATAATGGTTTGTTGCGGAATGACGGAATGACAGAATGACTGAATGACGGAATGACAGAATGACGGAATGACGGACAAGGGTAAAACTATATGGCCCCGACAACTTTGTTGCGGGGCCATAAAAGAAGTAAGGCTTTTGAAATAGATCCATTTAAGAACCAAATTATGGCCATTGTGAAATTTTATGATAAAGTTGAAATTCAGGGACATATTTGGCCTAAAGTGAACCTTGCCATTTGACGTAGAAAGGGAATGATTTCTTGGTCAACAGCCGTTTACAGGTACATGTAAATCAGTAAAAAATGCATGCATTCAAAGATATAGTCGACAAATGGTGATTGTATTTGAATGTATTGTTATATACAAGATAAAATGTAGTCCATGGTAAACAAAATCAAGTCATGTAACAGTAACTGTTTAACAGTTACTGTTCCCTCATAAAATTTGTCTTTAAATTTAATTTCTTGATATACTTGAACATACTTTTATAAACAGATTGAACACATTTTTGGAGTTCAATAGGGTGTAACCTATAGCAACGCACTCCAAAACGAATAAAAGTCCAAACAATTTTTATACAATAAAAGTTAGTGAGTGATTTGGTCCAGTGTATACATCAATAAATTCCGAAAATAATCTGATTGATTCTTATCATACTTGGTTACGCTTCATTTTATCAACCGTAGATTGTATATAATGTTTTCAAAATCGCGTTGTTGTTTATATAGGCTACGAAAGTAGTCCGATTTCAGGAGGTCTATCGAAAAAGAACCTGCCATTTTTTTACTACAGGAGGCGCTTGAAACCAATCAGAACAACAAATGATTTCTAATTATTCAGATCATTATATCAGAACTATTGGAAGCCAATTTCGCTGCATATAGCCATTTACTACCCAAACAGTGGTGAACAATTACACTAATGCAACGTTTGAGTACATCGTCTTTTGGTGTCATAGATATAAGAAGATATGGTATGAGTGCCAATGAGACAACTCTCCATCCAAGTCAAAATTTACAAAAGTAAACCATTATAGGTCACAGTACGGTCTTCAACACGGAGCCTTGGCTCACACCAAACAGTAAGCTATAAAGGGCCCCAAAAATAACTAGTGTAAAACCATTCAAACGGAAAAACCAACGGTCTAATCTATATAAAAATTCGTAAGGGTTCCGCGGAACCCAGTGTCTCGCCTACTTTTGCTGTTGTCTATGTCTTCAGTGTGATAGGGGAATGCACATAAAAGATTTACAGTTAATGAAATAAAGGTTTGAAATGTATGAAAAAAGTTATGCTTGTAAAAAATGAATACAGTATGCAATCAAATCTATAGATTTATAAAAGAGTTGAAACATAAATTTATTGAATGAACAAATGATAAAGAAGATAATTTTTACATTTTCCTCTAGATACTATGTTTTGATTGTAAAAAGCTTCTGTCCAAGTTTGGTAAAAATCAAGGATGGTTTATGAATCTAATAAATGTTTTAAAAACTTTAACTGCAGACTGTATGTAATGTTAACTGGAAGAAAAACTAAGTCCATTTATAAGTAATATACGGAAAACGGGAAATAAGTTTTTACAAAATTTCCTTCTAGATACTAGCTTTTGATCATAAACAAGCTTCTGTCCAAGTTTGGTACAAATCCAGGATAGTTTAAGAAAGTTATCAAAATTTTTAAAACTTTAACCACAGAGTGAATGTAATGTTTCCTGGCAGAAAAACTAAGTCCATTTATAAGTAAAATACGGATTTTTTTTTTTTTTTTTACAAAATTTACTTCTAGATACTATCTTATGATCATAAACAAGCTTCTGTCCAAGTTTGGTACAAATTCAGGATAGTTTAAGAAAGTTATTAAAATTTTAAAAACTTTAACCACAGAGTGAATGTAATGTTTCCTGGCAGAAAAACTAAGTCCATTTATAAGTAAAATACGGAAAAACTGGAATTTTATTTTACAAAATTTACTTCTGGATACTATCTTATGATCATAAACAAGCCTCTGTCCAAGTTTGGTAGAAATCCAGGATAGTTTAAGAAAGTTATTAAATTTTCAAAAACTTTAACCATAGAGTGAATATTTGTGGACGCCGCCGACGACGACGACGACGACGACGACGCCGACGGAATGTAGGATCGCTATGTCTCGCTTTTTCGACAAAAGTCGAAGGCTCGACAAAAACGAGAAACGAGAAACACTTATGAACCACATCAACAAACGACAACTACTGAACATCAGATTCCTGACTTAGGACAGGTGCAAACAAATGCAGCGGGTTTAAACGTTTTAATGGTACCAAACCTTCACCCTTTTTCTGAAACAATATTGTAACATCCCAACATAGAAAGATACACTATAAAATATCAACTGAAATAGCTTAACTCAATCAAAGGACATATTAACACCAGTGAACATACACTGAACAAATAAATTTGACCTATGATACAATGTAAATACAAAATAAATAAACTAAGGGAAGAATAATAAAAGTAACATGTTATATCGGTATGAAATGTTAAACAATTTAAGAAAAACAATATGCTCGAACAAAAATATCAGCCATTTGCAATAACTTTAAACACATGTAAATGAAAATAATTTTGTTATTAGGTATACGTGTACAGTTCCAATAGAGAAACGACATGTTCATTTATTAGCAAACTAGCAAGATATCATTTGTTTTGATGTCTTTTTCGCGATTTGCGTCCACTAAATATACACTGTGTTTACAAAACACAGCAAATCGTCAGAATAGAATTATCGCGGCCCAAAGAAATCGAGTACACTGCATTCATAGTATTTGTGCATGCAAATTCTATGTTTCATATTTACGAGGAAAATACAAAGTGTATAAGTTATCTACGTTCATATCCGTAGATATGGATATTTTTACACCCTGAAGTATCCAAGTACATCCTGAGGCGAAGCCGAAGGGTGTACAGGGTACTGAAGGGTGTTTAAATATCAATATCCAAGGATATGAACGTAGATAACGAATTTATCCCCGGTCTTAGTCCAAATCTGGCGATTTTTAGAGAAATTCGACCACAAAGTGTAACGTGAAAGCAACGTTTTTTTCATTTTTAAAAAATCTTTTATTGAACTTTGGGAATTTGACATATTTTTAACGGGGTGTAGGGTACTACCTTTGGTAGAACCCTACATGTAGTCAGATATAAGACGTTTGTAATCCAGATACAGGGAAACGGGAAGGGGTCGAATTTGGCGCTCAATGTTGTTAGAGTTACATCATAGACGGTGTGACGTCAACATGGGTCATTTGCATAGCTAGGTTAGTAGTCCCATTCATTGACAATGTGTCAGCCAAGTGATGCATTTACTAAAATGAGTGCAAATGATCGACATAAAAGGTAAAATCGTTAGTTAATTACATATTTTAAAATTACAGACATCATGGATATATTAATCTACAAAAATCGATATTTCACAAGGAACAACCATGGAACTACGGAAAACGCGCGTGAAATTCCCCGGCGTAATGGGTAGCAACGCCCGGTTATATGGGTTAGCAACACCCAGGGGCTATGGGTTTTGTAACGACGTGCGTTAACCAATCAGAATCCTAGAAATATACTAAGCCGGGGATAATTTCTATTCTTACCTGCACCAACTAGGGATCCTACGACAACCCATTTCAGCATCTGTTTGTCCTTCATAACAAACAACTTTAGTATCAACACTACAAGCGCAGCAAGTAAACAAATAAAACCAAGAACCTCCATTGCTTGTACTGCTTCTTGCCATGCTGAAATTCAGTGCAGAATTTTGAAAATTCTTTAAAAAAAATTAAGGTTTAAACTTTTAACTCATCAAAGGAACGTTGCTTATCATTTATTGTGCCAGACACTCATGTTGCCTATACAAGATTCATCAATCGAAGTCGAATCAAAATAGTTGAAGGGTTAAAGTAATTTCGAAGTCCAAGAGCACTGAAAACCAATAATTAAAAAAAAAATGAGTTAAATCTGGTATATATTTTGTGTAATTTGCATGTTCATTCTTAAAATAACATATGTCACTTTGAGTTTGAGTTTGAGTGTCGGTAATATATGCACACTTTAATATAAAAATAGTCAATGAAGTAATGTGTTCACACTTTATTTAAAATAATATTCAGTAATATAAATTAAATGTATGCACACTCGAATATACACACTTTAATATACCATATGCACACTTAAAAATTGAAAATACAACTTTATAATTTGGTTTTTCTGTATTTACCTTCATTAAGAACACTCAAACTAAAAAAACATAAAGCCTAGGGTGTATGAATTCTTGAATACTAGAGAAATTATATCCCCCAAAGAGGTCTTGAAAGAAAAGCCAATCATATCGAAGGTCAACTTTGTTAATATAAAAATAGCCAACTATGTAATTCATGCACACTTTATTATACAACTAAATGCATTTTCTAAGCACTTTTGAATGCCTTATTATCCTAGCAGTAGAGTATTCTGGAATTCTGTCTCGTCACTAATATTCATACTAGGTGATTGGATACAAAGGCGTATCCAATTTTGTTTTGATCGTTGTACGTTCAAAATATCAGAATGTTCTTTCTACACATTTTGTGTTTGATTCAAGATTTTTTAGAGGAGTTGGTTCATAATACAGAGCATGGATTTTACATTATATACACATACATTAATTGTGTCTACAACAAAATCTTCTACACAAAAGTTTGTACACTATAAATTAACTCACAAAGCATTATAATTTGAACATAAAACAAATAGACTTCCACAGTATATATAGATACTGCATGATTATCTATAACAGGACAAATCTGAAATGCCTAAGAATAACTAACTCGCTTTACCCTTTACTAAAATTCAAACAATCATTTATTTGACGTAACTGTGCTTGTATTAAATAGTTTTTGTTATAACAAATATATTACTAGTGTACTAGTAATTGTCTGAAAATCAACATAATAATTGTTCTGAAAATTGATACCATATGCTAATTCATCTAACCGACAGAACAACTTACTGCTTTACGTCGTAGCATAAACTCATACGACATACACTATTATCCATACTTTATTGTGATTACAAACGCTTTCGCCGTTTTAACATTGATTTTAGAAAATGAAGTATAATAGAGGTTCTCGGATTTAAAAAAAAATCATATTGGAAGAAAACAGTCAAGTAAAACAAAATACCAACTATATTTTTGAAGTTCTTTGTGTCTGTTGGCAATATACTTACATTTTGAGTTTTCGTAGTTGATACAATCTGGCGTGCATATCTTCCATAGTCCTGCCTTATATGCTACATCATTTAAAGCGGCAATTTTCCTATAATACCAATATGGTGTTGCAAATCCCACGATGTCGATGATAACAGCCACGACTGTTAAAATTAAGGATATGAAAGAAAAGAGTGGAACTCCAGCCACTTCCATATTTGTATTTTAATCGAATACTGGTGTCAGTCTGCTTCTGGGCTACAATTCCTTCCAAACAAATGGCATGTATGGTACTGACAGGTTTTTTTTAAAGATATAAATGTGTTTACTGTAACTATTTACAAGTTTAAAGCTCTATGTTATAATTTCTTAGGCAACCTTTTTATTGTATAAAGAAAGCATTCAATAAACTTCATTATCTGTTGTATATACATGTACATTGGAAGAATCCATACCAGTCATTGTTGTAACTGAAGAAATAAGTAATAACATAGTTCGGTCATACCGTATCCGCCACACCTTCTTTGATTGAAGAAAAAAGTCGACCTCAATACGCTTTTGTTGTTTGCTGCGAGAGTGGGACAATTATATAGAATCAACAGTTTAAATCAATAAAAAAGTTTTTATCAGTTGTAAAATGAATGTCGATTTGAAGGTCACTTGCATAAATAATTGTTTGAGAGATATAGAAAGATGATATTACAATATACTTATATATTGTCTGTTTAATGTATCCTTTACATTAATTGACTCAAATGGACGAAAGACGACTATGTCACAATGCTTTTATTTTTTATATGTTATTACGTCACAGTAAGAACCGATTGTTGAAAGTCTGTCAGTTTCCCGTCTAATATCTTTGTTTTTGGAGTTTTTTTTTGCAAGGCACACTTTATACAGAGTTACAAAATTTAAGATGATTATTTGATATGGAAACAGTCAAGTGAAAAATATTTGCCGTCTGTTCATGTATTGATTAAGATTTGCCTTAAAAAGGACAAATCTTAATTTGCCTTAAAGGACATCACTGATATATTATTAGCAAACGACTGATACTCATCCGTACTCAAATGTCTACCCTTTTCATTCCTCGTACACAAAAAGGAATATCTCTTTTTGTTAAGCTATACGAATCTGCAGGATCGTCATAAACCAGGCTAAACTAACTGGTCTAACTTTAACTTTAAAACTAAAAAAAATATCTGACACACAAGGAGCCTAATCGAGGCCGGTATGAAAAAAGGCGTAAGATCGAATTTAGTTAAGCTCCACTGACTCACTTGGAGCCTAATCGAGACCTGTTTGAGAAAAGACGTAAAGCCGAATTCAGTTAAGTTCCACTTTGAACACGGAAACAAACAAAAAACAGAGCGTTCGTTGCTACATATGATACTAGCAACTACAAACGTAAATGATGCCAAAAAAACAAATTCACCGATTTTAGTGGAGAGCGAGACTAGGAAAGTAATATTCCAGAGGCTTCGATCATTTATAGTAAGGGATACCAAAACAATTTCTAAATACTTACATTTTCAGGGGGAAACATGAGGAGACCCCAGAATTGTAATATTTGTAGTAGAGGTAAATAAATGACATCCAATGTTGTGAATATTACGTATGTCCAAATTTACCTTGAATCAGAATTTAGAGAAAACATATCTGTATTGTTGGGCACTATACGTTTTCATTCCTTGTTCCTTAAAAATGATTTGAAATATTTAGTCGTGTCGAGTCTTAAATTGGTATAAATAGTGCAGACACGGTCATTGTTCGACACGTAAAAACTTAAAGGACGAAATAAATTTTGTTTAGTACATCATATGCAAATTCATACTGCAACATTACATTCATAGAACATCTGTGCTTTGTGAATATTGTTATACTCGAATGAAGCTCAAAACCAAAAACTGAAAAAATAAAAAGTATAAAGCTTTGAACATAAAATTCCAAAAAAATACTATATAAATTATAAAAAAACATTGTGCTTGATTTATATGAGACGATTTAAGTATGCAAATGCATGAAATGTATTTTCACAATTACTGCTTTTATTCAATTATATTATTATGGAGTTTTAATTTATAACGTGATAAATTATATGGTTCCTCGTCTTATAATATTTTAATGGTATCGCATTGTGGTGGCTACGATCTGTCATTATTTAAATGTCAATTCTAGACTTGCTGCTGTGAGCCTTGCAAAATACAATTTTATGGATCGAAATCGTATTAGGAACTAGTGGATACAGTTTAAATGGTAAACACTATTATGATTATATACTTGTGATATATTCTCGTTTATCTTCAAGGGGAATAATAATAAAGATTTTTAACGATGATATATGGGTATGAGAGTGAATCGAATAAAATGTTAGGAAATATGAAGGTTGTAAACATGTACCATATTATTTGTAATATACCTTTATGAACGAGACTGTCCCAAGTCAAGAGCTTGTATAAAAATAAGAAGATGTGCTGTGATTGCCAATGAGACAACTCTCCACCAGAAATTAAATGACGCATACGTCAACAGATGTAGTCCAGAAGTTGTCGTTTGTAGCTGTCTGTCAATTATGTTTTTCTCAGTCGTTAGGTTTCTCTTTTGAGTTTGCATCTGCTATTTTGGTTCCTTCTTTGATTGAAAACTTACTCTACCTTATTGTTTGATTAATTGTCGAAGGTCGTATATATATACTGTAACCTTTAATCATTTAAGTGCATGTCATGGATAGTTGTCTCATGAGCAATCATACCACAGCTCCTTAAAATATATAAATCCAAGTATACGCAAAATAAATGTGAATGAAATCTGATTCAATAAAAATCATATGAATTCCACTCAGAGTGCGAAACGTTTGTCAATGTAACTTTGATAAGTGCATCTTTTGCTATGTTTGATTCCCAATCAGAAGATTTCAAAATTCTACTTTGTAATAATGTTTCAAATTTAAGCCAGGTGCATGACAAACTTGTAATATTGTTAGACGAACAAGAACAGACCGTGAGATCTATGAAGCTTTTATTACATTGAAAGAAAACGACACCGTAACAATCAAACAATTTGTAATTGCGATCACCGGGTTCGTACTTACATGAAAGAGGGACGAAAGATACCAGAGGGACAGTCAAACTCATAGATCGAAAACAAACTGACAACGCCATGGCCAAAAATAAAAAGACAAGCAGACAAATAATAGTACAGATGACACAACATAGAAAACCAAAGACTAAGCAACACGAACCCCACCAAAAACTGGGGGTGATCTCAGGTGCTCCGGAAGGGTAAGCAGATCCTGCTCCACATGTGGCACCCGTCGTGTTGCTTATGTTATTACAAATCCGGTAAATAGTCTAATTCGGTAAGTCACATTCGTGAAAAGGGAGGGTATTGTAGTTACGACATAAGGAACATATCCGATATCATCTGTGAAACGGTTATTCCATAACGGTCAACCAACTCGTAATGGCGTCCGTAAAATTTACGAAGGGATGATTTCAACTTCACCATTTGTAACTCTTGGTTTAATAGCTTCCTTGTGAGCAGCAATCTTCTATCAAGGAAATCATGATGGGAAACACAAGCCCGGGAATATCGTATCAATTGTGCAGGCATCTGGAATCTGGAAAGATCCTCATTATTTTATAAAGACCGACCTGCGATGACAAATGCAACATTTTTCATTCAAAATATAAAAATAATCTGGACTCGCTAGCCATAGCTGAATACAAAATCCCTCCGAACAACGAAACCATTATATTTGATACAAAACCATACATGAGATCAGCAAACATTTTTCTACTAAAAAAAGGGGGTGTTGCGATAATCTGAGATTATTTAATATCTCGTACACGTTTGTATTCAACCGTTCCTTTCGAAAAATATTTAAGTGTGAAGCCGCTCTGTTACATTTTTAGTTATTTTCCTCAGTGAATAGATATAATACAAATAATTTAGAAACTGCTAGGTGCAATCAAAACATTAAATAATAACAAGAACATTGAGCTTAACATGTTGCCATGGTATTTTACGGTATGAAAACAATACAATATATCTACATAATATATAAAAAAGATTGCAGGAATCATCTAAAGCACTGGACAGTACAACAGACCACATCAACAACCAACACAAAAAATAGTAGACAACAAACAAGATATAAACAACAACGAACAACACACGGTCCAGATAACCTGACTTTGTACATAGACAAAATGTGGTTGAATTAAAACATTTTTACTTGCGTACACACCCAACTCTCCCCTTTTTAACGATCTGGACCGTATGTTGTAAAATTAAAGCAAGCAATTAAAAATCTGTTAAGTGCAGCTGACGGGTAACCATGTGACCACTAACATCAACAAGGAAAGAAAACGACACATGCTTGGGAAAGCAGGGTTCAAATAGTCTCGCTACTGCAGTAAGAAATCTACAGCTGTTGGGTTTATACTACCGCTAAAACTTGTACACCAATAATGGGATTGTTATAACAATCATACATCTGATTTAAAACAATAAGCATTTTATAGTTGTTGGTTTTTTTTTAATTAATTTTGTGGGTTTTTTGAAAATCATATTTGAAAAAAAAGGATAAATGTCGAATATATCGTAATTAGGTGATTTTAAACACTTGTTTTCTTTTCGAATTCAAGTCTCTCCTTCTTCGGCCGAGATATCCATTGCCAAAAATTCCATCTAGAATGAGAAATAAAACCAAATCTAAGAAAAAGCATGTATTCATATATCGGTAGCGGTTGTATATATAGTAGATATTATGTCTTGAAACTTTTGAATAAAACAATCTTAATAACTTGCTATGTTATAGGCTGTACAACAGAAACTTACATTCCATGATGACATGAATTTGTCCACGTTTCGGAGGCTTGTATTGCTCAATATTAATGCGTGTGCGTGTTGAAGAGAAAGTTTTATTCATATCGTATTTTGTTTTTGCGTTTTTTTAAGTGTGGTGTTGACTGTCCCTTGACATGTTATTTTGTATTGTTTCCTTCACGTCTTCTTATTTGTGGTTGCTTAATGTTATAATAGCCTTTTGCATAGGTATTTGAACGTTCACTTAAACAAATTCTTAGTTCACCTGGCCGAAGACCAGTGTGAGCTCTTTCCATAATTTGGCGTCCGTCGTTTATCGTCGTCGTCCCCCGTCGTCCGTTAACTTTTACGATAATCTTCCTCTCTGAAACTACTGGGCCAAATGGAACC